CACCACGATGGTGGCCATCGCCGTGGCTGACCGCAACGACCACGACCCCGTCTTCGAGCAGGGCGAGTACCGGGAGACCATCCGGGAGAACGTGGAGGAGGGATACCCCATCCTGCAGCTGCGGGCCACTGACGTCGACTCCCCGCCCAATGCCAACATCCGCTACCGCTTCGTCAATGAGCAGGCTGCCCATGCCGTCTTTGAGATCGACCCCCGCTCTGGCCTCATCACCACCAGTGGGCCAGTGGACAGGGAGAAGATGGAGAGGTACTCCTTGGTGGTAGAGGCCAACGACCAGGGGAGGGAGCCAGGGCCCCGCTCCGCCACTGTGAAGGTCTACATCACGGTCCTTGATGAGAATGACAACACCCCTCAGTTCAGCGAGAAGCGCTACATCGTCCAGGTGAGGGAGGACATACGGCCCCACACTGAGATCCTGCGCGTCACCGCCACGGACCTGGACAAGGACAACAACGCACTGGTCCACTACAACATCATCAGTGGCAACAGCCGGGGCCAGTTCTCCATCGACAGCATCACTGGGGAGATACAGGTGGTGGCCCCGCTGGATTTTGAGGTGGAGCGGGAGTACGCCTTGAGGATCCGGGCTCAGGATGCGGGGCGCCCTCCCCTCTCTAACAACACCGGCATGGCCAGCATACAGGTGGTGGACATCAATGACCATGCCCCCATTTTTGTCAGCACCCCTTTCCAAATCTCCGTCCTGGAGAACGCTCCCCTTGGCCACTCTGTCATCCACATCCAGGCTGTGGACGCGGACTACGGCGAGAACTCGCGCCTGGAGTACAAACTGACAGGAGTCTCGGCCGACACGCCCTTCGTGGTGAACAGTGCCACGGGGTGGATCACAGTCAGTGGGCCCTTGGACCGGGAGTCAGTCGAGCACTATTTTTTTGGGGTAGAGGCTCGTGACCACGGCTCTCCATCTTTATCCGCCTCTGCCAGCGTCACCATTACTGTCATGGATGTCAACGACAACCGCCCTGAGTTCACCCAGAAGGAGTACTTCATCCGCCTGAACGAGGATGCAGCCGTGGGGACCAGTGTCGTCAGTGTCACGGCAATTGACCGGGACGTGAACAGTGCCATCACCTACCAGATCACAGGAGGCAACACGCGGAACCGCTTCTCCATCAGCACACAAGGTGGGATGGGGCTCATCACTCTGTCTCTGCCACTGGACTACAAGCAGGAGAGGCGTTATGTGCTCACTGTGACGGCCTCTGACCGCACCCTGCGTGACAACTGCCATGTTCACATCAACATCACCGATGCCAACACACACCGGCCCGTGTTCCAGAGTGCCCACTACTCTGTGAGCATCAACGAGGACCGGCCTGTGGGCAGCACCGTGGTGGTGATCAGCGCCACAGACGATGACGTTGGTGAAAACGCCCGCATCACATACTACCTAGAAGACAACGTCCCTCAGTTTCGCATCGATCCGGACTCTGGAGCCATCACTCTCCAGGCAGGACTGGACTATGAGGACCAGGTCACCTACACATTGGCTATCACTGCCAAGGACAATGGGATCCCCCAGAAAGCGGACACTACCTATGTTGAAATCATGGTGAATGATGTTAATGACAACGCCCCCCAGTTTGTTAGCCCTCTTTACCAGGGCATGATCTCTGAGGATGCACCTCCTTTCACCAGCGTGCTCCAGATCTCTGCCACTGACCGGGATGCCCACACCAATGGTCGAGTGCAGTACACCTTCCAGAACGGGGAAGATGGGGATGGAGACTTCACCATAGAGCCCACCTCGGGGATCATTCGCACAGTCCGCAGGCTGGACCGCGAGAACGTCCCCGTCTACGAGCTGACTGCATACGCTGTGGACAGGGGCATCCCTCCTCAGCGAACTCCTGTCCATATCCAGGTTACCATTCAGGATGTGAATGACAATGCCCCTGTCTTTCCTGCTAAAGAGTTGGAGGTCATGGTAAAGGAGAACAGCATTGTAGGCTCTGTTGTGGCCCAAATCACAGCCGTTGACCCGGATGAAGGACCCAATGCCCAGATCATGTACCAAATTGTGGAAGGCAACATCCCCGAGATATTCCAGATGGACATCTTTTCTGGAGAGCTCACAGCCTTGATAGACCTGGATTATGAGACAAAACCCGAGTACGTGATTGTAGTGCAAGCCACCTCTGCCCCTCTGGTCAGCAGAGCCACAGTCCACATCAAACTCATTGACCAGAATGACAACAGCCCTGTTCTCAAGAACTTCCAGATCCTGTTCAATAACTACGTGTCCAATAAGTCCAACACCTTCCCCTCGGGGGTCATAGGGAAGGTCCCAGCTTATGACCCAGATGTGTCCGACCAACTCTTCTACACCTTTGAGCGGGGAAATGAACTGCACTTGTTGATTGTAAATCAGTCGAGTGGGGAGCTGAGGCTGAGCCGTAAGCTGGACAACAACCGTCCGCTTGTGGCCTCCATGCTGGTGACCGTCACAGGTAGGGTGTGAAAATCATTAAACCTTTAGGGCAGCTCCTTTGGGGGGCCTGTTCTGCATCAGGGGGGTGGGTTGGCGACTGGCAACAAGATTTGGATTGGGTGTCCCTTCCAATCAGGGAGTACTGGAGGGGCTGGGAAGGGTGGCAGTGGGGGCATGCTGCAGGGAAGCGCTCTGTCTGAGGACAGAGGTGGTCTGCAAGAACAAAGCATTGATACTCAGCTGTGAGGATCGCTTGTAGCTGCTAGTGAGACACCTTTGGAGGTGCTGTCACCAGCGAGGCAGTGATGTGTGCTGTAGGGTGCTGGCCGGGCAAGCAGCTGGTTCCCGGGGTGGCCAAGCTGCCAGGCCCAGGGCTGGCACGCCGCTTTGCTCCCAAGCCCAGGTGGCTCTTCTTCCTGCCGGGACCGAGCGCTTCCCTGGCTGTGCTTGGGCAGGAGGGATTGAACTCAGCGCAGAGGGAGTCCTCTTAAAAATACCTGTCTGCTGGTAGCAAACGGTTCAATCGGGATTCTGGCTGTGGTACCTACCAACACCAGCGCTTTCTGGTGCGGCTTCTAAAACCTGGTACCACCTTTCTGCAGCCAACTTAGTGTTGCAGGGGACAGCTGTGACAAACCTCAGAGCAAGGTGCTTAAAACTCTCACATCGTGTGTGTTGCCAGACCATCCAAATGCAGATGCTAGCGTTAGCTGCTGGGGTAGCTTTGGGGGGTGTTGGGGTCCCCTCCAGCCAAGCTGAGGGCAGGGCAAAGATGGACTTAGGGGCTTGTGTGTGAGCAAGCGGGACCTGGAGCTCCCCACTGCCTGAGCTTTGCCTTCACCATCAGCCTTTCTTTGCTTGCGAATGCATGATCTGAAATGGAGGCATCCGTTCATCGCTGAACCGAGGAGGGGCTCGGGGGGAGGGAGGGCAAGAGCCCTCTTTGGAGGGGCCATGCGCTGAATTACCAAGAGTGCCTGGGGAGCTGTATGTTAAATTGTGATGCTCCCCTGACCCTCAGCTACCAGCTGCCTTCCCTTTTCACCATCTCCCTCTCTGTATCCAGCTTATTCAGCAAGGGGAGGATTTCTTTCAAAAGATGGAGCAAGGACTTTAAGAGGAGACCTGTTCAAGGCAATCCTGCATGGCCAGCACCAGCCCGTCGGTGGATTGGGGCTCTTTGGGGGTTAATTGTAACCGCAGGGCTGGCTGAGAGTGGGTGCAGGCACACACATGGCCATCGCTGGAGATGGGGGGGTGATTTTGACCTTTCCAGCTTCTGCCCAAGTGTGTTTATCCAAGCCCTGCCTCCTGGCACACTTAACCCTGCACAAAGGCAGGAGACAATCACATCCCGAAGTCCTGTGTCGAGCCGCCTC